AATCACTATGTCACTCTTCCCTTGTCATGTGGTTTTTATAGTTTTTCTTTTGTTTCAATTTTTTCATTATGACTATAACTTATTAGTGGAGCCTTGTTAATCACATGTTATATTTATTTTTTCTAATCCCTTCATTCCTCGGAGAGTTAACAATGACCTCTCTTATTATCCCTCTTCACTTTCTTTAATTCCTTATTACAAATTGTATTCCCCTACTCTCTAATGAAGCCATGATATTCCTCAATAAGGTCATACACATTTTAGTCTGTTTTTAAAAATTTATTTTGCAGTGTTATCTCTTCTGAAACCCTTAATCCCTTTGCTCCTGAGACTATAGTCGGTGCTATTGTCATGGGAATTCTTTCAGTTTCTTTACTGTTGGAGGCTCCGTTTCTTAAATCCTTTGTATGTATTCTCTTAGGTGGGGCACAATCCCCAGTAGCATACTTTGAGAGTCTGTATATTTGAAAATGTCTTTGTTCTGCCTATACATAAAATTCATAGTTGGGCTGGGTATAAAATTCTAAGTTAACCTTTCCTTCATGTTTGAAGGCATCTTTTCATTTTATTCTAGCTTCTGTTATGTTCTAGCTATTGAGTGCACCGTGATTTGGTTGTCTAATCTTTTGTGACTTTTTCTTTAGCTGTCTTTATCTCTAGTATTCTAAAATATAGGTTGTATCTTAGTATAGTTCTTTTTATTTATTTGGTGTGCTGGATACTTGTGGGTTTTCACTCACGAATCTCATGGCCTGCCTTCAACTTTGGGAAATTTTCTTGCTTTTTTTAAAAAAATAACTTTATCTCCACTTTTATTCTTTAAAAAAAACAATTTGTAGCAGTCAGATGTGGATCAGTCCCTCTAGCACAATCATTTAATTTTCTGTGTTCCCACACTGCTAATCTGTCTTTGTTTTGCTTCTGGGAGATTTCTTCAACTCTCTATTACAGACACATTTATTGATTCTTAGTTTTGCTACAATCATTTAATTTTCTAAGAATGGAAAAACTTTTTGATATTTTTTTTTTGGTTGACTACATTTCTCTTAGATGATATTAATTATACTTGTCTGTGGTTTATCACTCATTCTCTTCACAATGTCTTTGCAAGAGCAAAATGTTTACTTTTGTTAAAGTCCAAGTGATAATTTGTTTTCCTTATGAATCATGCTTTCAGTCTTAGAAATCATGCCTAAGAAATATTTGGCAACTCAAGTGCAAAGACTTACCTGTGGTTTCTTACAAAAGTTTCACAGTTTCAAGTTTCATATTTTTGTCTGTGTTGTCTTTTGGGTGAATTTTGGATATAATGTGAAGTATGGATCAAAGTTCACTTTTATGTGTATGATATGCATTTTGTTCTAGCACCATTTGTTCCAAAGACTACCCTTTCTTCATTAAATTGTCTTTGTAGTTCATTAAAAATCAATGTTCTGAATCAATATGTGTGGTTCTGTTTCTGAACAATTTTTTTGCCACTGATCTATTTATTTTTAGGCCATACGAAGTCATCTTCATTACTGTAGCTTTCTCATAAGTCTCTATCACTTGTAGCTCACCAACTTTGTTTTTTAGATAGTTATTTGGCTGTCCTGAGATCTTCACATTTCCATATCAATTTTAGAATCAGCTTCTATATTTCTACAAAAACACCTGGACTATTGATTGGGATTTTATTAATTATATAGATCCACTAAAGGATAATTAGCATCTCAACAAAGTTAGTCTTCTGATCCGTAAACATGGGATAGCTCTACATTTATTTATTTTCTTTAATTTCTGTGTCTTGTAGTGATCAGTGTTTAGGTTCTGCACATTTTTTGTCAAAGTTATCTGTAGGCATTTTATGTTTTTTAATGCTTTTATAACTGAAAAGTGAAATTTTTAGAAAAAACCAATTGTGTGTTGCTAATACAAATACACAGTTGACTTTCCTACATCAGTCTGTTATCCTACGATCCTGATACTAAACTCACAAACTTTATTGTCTTGTTTGTACCTTCCTCAGATGTTTTTTGCATAGATGATCATGTGATCTGTGAACAAAGGCAGCTTTACTTTTTTCCTATGTAGATGATTTAATTTATTGCCCAATTGCATTGGCTAAAAACTTCAATAGTGTTGAATAAAAGTGATGAGAGCTAATATCCCTACCTTGTTCCTGATATTAGGGGAAAAACGTTCAGTCTTTTACCCCGGAGTGTGCTGTTTTTATAGATGCCTCTGATCAGACTGCGGATGTCTCCTTCTGTTCCTAATTTTCTGAGAATTTTAAATGCTATTTGCCTATTGAGGTTATCGTATGGTTTTTCAGTTTTTGTTAATACGGCAAGTTATATTGATGTTTGAATTTTAAGCCAGCCTTTTATCTCTGGGATAAACCCCACTTGGTAATTATGAAGTATCTCTTTTATATGTTGTTTGACTCAATTTGGTAAAATATTAGCCATTTTGCATCCATGTTCATGAGAGATAGTGGTCTTTAATTTCTTACCTTGTAATGTCTGTGTCTGGTTTTGGTATCAAGGTCACACTGGCCTAATAGAAAGTGTTGGGAGCTATTCCCTCCTCTTCTATTTTTTGGGAAGAGTTGTGAATTTATTTATTAATTACTTTATTTATTTTCTTGGTAGAAGTTAGTGGTGAAGTCTTCTGGGTCCAGACTTTTCTGTGTAGGTAGTTTTTTGTTTTTAATTACTTTTGAGGCCTTTTACTTTTAACCCATTCGTGTGCCTTTCTTTAAAGTGCATTTCCTGTAGGGGGTATATAATTGGGTCTTTTCCACCTATTTATTTATTTATTGGCAGAGTTTCACTCTGTTACCCTGGGTAAAGTGCTGTGACATCATAGCTCACAGCAACCTCCAACTCCTGGGCTCATGTGATCCTCTTGCCCACTGAGTAGCTGGGACTGTGAGTGCCTGCCAGAACACCTGGCTAGATTTTCAGGTTTTGGTAGAAACAGGGTTTTGCACTTGCTCTTGCTCAGGCTGGTTTTGAACTCCTGAGTTCAAGCAGTCCACCCCCCTCAGCCTCTCAGAGTGGTAGGATTACAGGCATTAGCCCCTATGCCCAACCTTTTTTCACTCCTTTAAACATGATGAAAACTTACCTACAAGCCCATCATATAATTTCCTTCCATTTTTTGTTGTTGTTGTTGTTGCTGTTGACTGGATTGTATCCAGGTCTTGAGCCTAAACCAGGCAGTAGGCAAAGGGGAACAGTGGAGTTACCACGATTAGCTTAGCCCAGTGCATCTCCAGGTGTGATCTGCAGACCAGTAATTTCAGTATCACCTGGAAACTTCTTAGAAACTCAGGTCCTTTAGCCTCCCCCAAACCTATGGAATCAGAACCTCAGGGCATGTGGTCTAGTTATCTGTTAGCCCTTTCAGTGATTTTTGACACACCAAAGATTGAAAGTAACTAGCCTGACCTTGGGAAAGAAGGGAGAGATCCTGGTAGGGAGCAATTTACGAGAACATTTGTTAAGGAAGAGTAGAAGAGATTATTACTACATAGGTAATAAGGTAATAATCTTGCCGTAGTAGGGCTGAGATGGGATTTAAGAATCAGTTTTTAAATAAGCAGTATACTCTTGTTGGAAACAGGACCACACTCTAAGGAAAGAATGATCTATTGAAGTGACTATTAAATCAATTAAAAGACATGTATTTTAGAGTCTTCATCTGTAACTAGAGTCAGCAAACTGTTCCAAGGGCAAATCAGGTCTGTTGCATGCTTTTTTATGGCTGGTAAGATAGGCTTTGGCATTTTTAAATGATGAGAAAAAAGGATGCGAAAATAATGGGAAATTCAACTTTCAGAGTCTAAAGTTTGAGAACACAGCTAAACTTACTCATTTACATATCATCCATGACACTTTTGGATGAGAACGGCAGAGTTGAGTCGTTGTGACAGAGCTCATGTGGCTCGTGAAGGTTGGAATATTTGCTTGCTGGACCTTGGCAGAAAGTTTGCCAACCTTTGACCTGTAAGAATAATTTACTGAAGAACAGTATATTCCCCAACCATCTTGGATAATTGATAAATTAATCTAATAGGTGGAAGTCTTATCTAGAACAGTGAAAGTGTGAAAAATGATGTATGTCATTTCCAGAGCATGTGCTCATTAGAATCATGGTGACTTTGAAGGAGTATTACTTTAGATTTGTAATTACAAGCTTAGTAGAGTGAGGTCAGTAACTAGAGCCGGCAATTGTAGGGAGGTCGTTCCCCTGCTTCTGCCCCACCCCCACCCGCCTTTCTAGTTAATAGTTAAGTATTCTGCAAGATAAACCTTTTTGTATAAGCCTATTCTATGTACCGAAGGTATTCTAAAATTTACCTTAGCATAGTATTAGATGAATCAGTGAGCGAAAACCTTTATTAGATAGTAACTTGCAGTGCCTCTAGGTGGTTATCTTGAATGCTGTGTAACGGTTAGATGCTGACCATGAACTCTTCCTAAAACACAGCTTTTAAAGAAGAGCTTAATGAAAAAGCAGCACATACCCAGGTTGGTCCAGATTTGAGACAGGAGATACAGCTGATATTTTAGGGTTCAGAGAATCAAACATGTGACTTGTTTAGGTTTATTATTTATTTATTTTTATATTTATTTTTTTAAAGTTAAAGATCTGCCTCATTGTACCGCATCACGTTTACATCCATTAGGCCAAGTTCACATAAGAGATTCTGTTGCCAAAGAGAGAGATGAAAATGTTTGAGGTGTAAAGTGTGAGTGTCAGATCGTCTCTGAAACACACAGTTGTGGGGAAAGTCATCAGACCTCCTCTGAAGTCGTTCTCCCCAGGCTACAGAAGGCGTCATCTTCTACTCAGGGATCATTGCCTGTTAAAATGATTCTGGGTACTTTGAAGTAATCAGATGGGAGTTCTGTATCTCTGTGAGTTGTTAAATCTGTGTCGTTTTCCTCTAAAGAGAGGTACCCTCTCTGTAGGTATATATCATACCTATAATGTAGATTTCTTTCTTTCAGGTTGTACGTTGGCTCTTCAAAGACGTTCAGCTCGTCAGAGAAATCCCTGACTCCTTTGCAGTGGTGTAGACACGTCCTAGATAACCCAACTCCTGAGATGGAAGCCGCAAGACGTTCCCTGTGCTTTAGACTGGAGCAAGGTAATTGTGAAAGTGTGCGTTTGTGCCCTCCAGCCTCTGCCACTCTCTGCTCTGCTTCTCTTGCTGGTTTCTGAACAGACATCTCAACTGAGGAACCTTACCCTGCCCTCCGACTGTTGCCTGTGGTTCCCTTCACACGTGTTACTTACCAGGGCTTCTCCACAGGGGACGTATTTAGTTTTGTTCTTGTTTTAACACAACATTTTAGTTTGCCTTAGTTTGTGTTGTAGTATAGGAAGGCTTTTTACTTTCTGTTTGTTTTCTCCTTTCTGTTTGCAAAATACCAATAAATGGGTCAGTTGTCAATTCTGTGGGGTTGCTGACCAGGTCGTGTGACCAAAGGCGGAAGACTGGGGCTACGTTGGGATCTGAGAGCTGACTTTATTGAGCTGGTTCAGTGTTGAGTTGGTTGAATACCTGGAAGTCTGAACCTTTGCAAGCTGAGAAATAATCTTCCTGTTTATGTAACATTAATTTAACTTGAGGAGCCTAACAAGTTTAAATTTAAAAAAAGAGAGTTGAAAAAACAACAAAAGGGACACGTACGTGGTCCTCAGTTCCTGGCTATTTTAATACAGTAGATGACTTAAACTGTGATTGCTTAGGCCTTGGCTTGTCTCTTAACCTCTCAGCATCTGTTTCAGTATCTAGGAACAGTTTCTATTCCATGGACCACCTGCAGCCAATCATATTTGACCTTGAAAGTACAGATTCCTGCCCCCTCCAGATTGAAGAATCAGAGCATCTGAGGTTGGGGCCAGGGGAATTTGCACCGATGAGTTCACTAGTGTGATTCTCGTGCACACTAAAGTTTGGGAATGCTGCCTGTGAAGCCCTGCGAGGACAATGGTTATAAAGTATTTGGACACAGTGAGAGAATGTGTAATACACAATGTTTCTTGAGCTTTTAATTCTGGGACAGTACCTTAAGTTCTTGACATCCTGCATCTTTCACTACACTCACGTTTAGAGGTGAGGAAAGTGAAGTTTATGGAAGTTCAGAGAATTCCAAGGCCGGAGTGATACCCAGGGACAGAGTCCTAGCCAGGAACTCCTGACAACAGAGACCCCAACCTTAAGCAGTATTGCATTCTGCTCCATTGATGTGGTTGTGTGGCAAATCAACAGAACTCTCTTGATTGAAATATTTGAGGACGGTAGAACAGGGTGGCTCCTGTGGCTCAAAGGAGTAGGGCACCAACCTTATTATGTTGGAGGTGGTGGGTTCAAACCCAGCCCCGGCCAAAAACAGCAAAAAAAGAGGATGGTAGAACTAAAGAGGATGTTTTATTAACATTTCAACTACAATGAAATAAATGAATTAATAGAAAGTTGAAGAGCAGTACAGGCACAGAGGCATTCTCAGGTTAAAACTTTGGTGACAGGTACCTGTGTAATAGTGAGGAGCCCTCTGAGTCTGGGGACTCTATCTTGGTCATTAGCTGAGTGATCTAAGCAGACCATTAAACCCCTTTGGACTTAGCCCTTTGAAGGGTTGTAGGCTGCCCCTGAGTCTCCTTACTTAAATAACCCTTGATTTAAGGACATATGCGTACATTTTTATATGTGGATTTGGCTCAGTAATCTGAAATGAAATGAAATTCAGCATTATAGTCCTTTAGTTCAGGGGTCAAGAAACTTTTTCAGAACAGGGCCAGGTAATAAGTATCTTAGGTTTTGCAGGCTTTGCAGTCTGTGTTGTGACTGTTCAACTCAGCCATGACCGGAAAGCAGCAGTTGATGTGGAAATTAATGAACAGAGTTGTTCCACTCACAATTTATTCATGGACACTGAGATTTGAATTTCATGTGTCACAATATATACATGTATTTTTTCCCAACCATTTAAAATCACGTAAAAACCATTCCTCACTGGTAGTTAAGAGTGCTGGCGTTTGGCAGCATCAGGCTGCAGTTTGCCAGCCCCTGGTTTCACTCATATATTCAAGGTAGACTTTATGAAGAAAACTGATTTTGATAAACTTAATGTAAATTGTCCTAATGTGGTAGATGCTTTTGACATTTCAGATGTAGGTGCTTACATGTCTAATTTTCCTGTCATTGACAAAGGGGCTCAGGCAGAATTATGAGATCATGAGGACACGAATTGGCATAGTGTTTTGTTCATGATGTAATTTGTGTAAATTTTGGATAAAAGCTTAAGTTGAGAACTAGTTTTTCAAAACCAAAATTAGTGTTTCACTGTGTATGTGTATATACACACACGTCTAAAACCTTTTTTGCTGTGAGACGAAATGCTTTTGTTCCAGAGTTTATTCATCTTCTATAATCCCATTAAGTAACCCATTAGAACAGATTGTTTATTGGATGAAAATTCTTTTTGTAAAAATTCAACGTATGTTGGCTCTGCGCCTATAGCTCAGCAGCCAAGGCGCCAGCCACATACACTGGAGCTGGTGGGTTTGAACCCAGCCCAGGCCTGGGTTCAACTGCAGCCAAAAAATAGCCGGGCATTATGGCGGGCGCATATAGTCTCAGGTACTTGGAAGGCTGAGGCGAGAGAATCCCTTAAGCTCAAGATATCAAGGTTGCTGGGAGCTGTGATGCCATGGCACTCTACTGAGGGTGACATAGTGAGACTCTGTCTCAAAAAAAAGAAATAAAAAAAAATTTCAACTTACGTTTCATAAAATGTTTATAGTTTAAAAAATATTAGTCTTTTTAATTAGAAGAGTACCAGATTCGTGCCCTATGCCTCCCTACCCATTTCATTTTCCAGATGCACTTACTTAACCAAAACTGTGTTTCGGTTTTGCTGTTAAGCTGTTTTTAAATTCTGTATTTATATGGCTGTTGCTTGAGTTTTCAATTTTAAACCTTATCCAGGGGCTTTCTGCTTGTGATGGGGAGGATTTAATTCTTCTACACCACCCCTCCTTATACTTTTTCTTTGTATATCATCCCTGTATAGCTTTTTACCAATCCAAGCCATGAAGTAATTTATCATTGTATTTCTTTTTGCATCTAACTTTCTATTGTTTATAGTTTTGTTTTGTTTTAGAGTTAATTATAAAAAGACCTTATTTGCTTCTTTTCGTCCGTGTCCTTCATTTATCCCCAGATTCTCTGGGTGAGCCATCCTCAAGATGGAGATACCTAACTCCAAGGGTTTGGTTTTGTTACTGTTCCTTCGGGCAGTGCCCTCTGTTCTTATTCGAAACTGAACTAGATCTGTGTGGTCTTAGAATATCTGGCATCCTGGGACTTCCTTTTGTTTTATTCTGGGAGCTCCTCTGGCCTGTCTTTAAGTCTGTGTCACCTGTTCCATAGATGCAAAGACACCCTTCTATTCCCTTCTGTTGATGGAATGCATTCTCTAGTTGCTTTTTGGGAGGGTAGAGAAGAGGACATGCAGGAGGTGAGTCTTGAGACCCTGATGTGTCTGAAGTGTCCTCATTGTTCCTTCTTCGCCCTTATACTCTGTAGTTGTTTGGGCTAGCTATGGAATTCTAGGTTAATTCCATTATGGAATTTAGAAGGTGTTATTTCATTAAACTTTGGCTTCAGGATTGCTGTTGACTTCCAATACCTTTCTCATTTCTGATGCTCTTGTTTGCGACCTCTCTACCTAAAATACCCCAAGCAGTGTCTGAGGTATTATTCTTGATATTTTGAAATTTCAGCTTTCTGTGTGCTAGAAACTTCAGCTCTGTAGATCTCTTGCTTTGTTTCTTGTATTTATTCCCCCTAACCATTGCTGTTTTCTCTAATCTATCTTTTTATATACTTCTGTTTTTGTTCTGTTGGTCAGAATCTCCTGGATTGGTGTTTACATATCATAATTTTTCCCTGTCTTGCTTTCTATCCCTGATTTTCCTATGCTCTACTTTCTTGGAGATTTAAAAAAGCTCATCTGAACTTTTTTGCTGTGTATTTAGCACCTTCTATCATGCCAGGCACCATTCTAGGTGACCAGACCCAGTGCTGGACGGTACAGAAGCCCCAGTCTCTGCCCTGTGGGAGCCTTTTACTTTCTAGTATGCAGATTTTCACTCAATCCTCCTGTTTTTTGTAAGGTCCCGTGTTTGTGTTTGTATCCTTAAATCTACAGGCTTTCTGTTTCAGTTTACTCAGGCAGTAAAACCCCTCTTTGATCAAAGCAGGAGAGGAGCCGTTGCCAAGCAGGCAGGTGGAGCTGCAGGGCTCAGGGCCTTCCTGTAGGTTTTCAGACTTCCCCTTTTTTGCTAAACCACATAACTTCCTACCTTCCATGGTATTTAGTATCTGCAGTCCCGGGACCTTGCCATGTTCTTATTGCTCCCTTTGGCATGGGTCATAGGGCAGAGAATTTCAAAACCCAAGTGTGCTAACTAGTAGTTATCTGTTTTCATTTCTAAGATGTTGTGATCTTCCTTAGCCTAATAATGTCACCTTTTCCATCCTGTTTTCCTTGTGAGCCTGTAAGAGTTTAACTGCCACTCTGTTTTACAAGAGAGAGGGAGAAATTCATATTTAACCTTTCATATTGTTTTTTTTCTGTTTTTGTTTTCTGAGACTGTCTTGCTCCGTTGCCCTTTGGAGAGTGCTGTGGTATCATAGCTCACAGCAACCTCAAACCCTTGCGCTCAGGCTACCCTCTTGCCTCAGCCTCCTGAGTACCTGGGACTATATGGGCACGTGCCAGAATGCCTGGCAAGTTTTTGGTAGAGACAGGTCTCGCTCTTCCTTAGGCTGGTCTTGAACTCCTGAGCGCAGGCAATCCACCCGCCTCGGCCTCCCAGAGTGCTAGGCTAACAGGCGTGAGCCCACCACACCCGGCCTAACCTCTTATAATAATAGTTTTTACTGGCTTACAGTTAAGGGAAGTCTTTTTTCCATGATGATTTTCTGACAGATATCAGAAATTATGGTTGTAACCTAAACTGTATTCATGATGTAGTTTAAATATTTAATTATAATAATGTGAGCATTGTATATTTTACAAGTAAGTTTGTGCATTTACTTTTTGTTTATGTTTTGAATTAATTTCTCTCTTGGAC